CAAGTAAATTATTAAATTATTATGATTTCATATAATTTATGAACAGAACTAATTAATAATTTATAATTATTTATCCACAATTACTGTTATAATATAAAATGCATTAGATACCATTGCAAAACCAACATCAGCCTTTTTCAATGCTGGGCCATCATTTGTGCCATCCCCCGTTACGGCCACGACTTCTCTATTCGTATGTAATTTGCTATCGATAATTCCTTTTACTAGTGTATATTTGTCCTGGGGAGATGATCTGGCCAATACACGTAATCGAGGCCATACTTTGTCTAATAACTGTTGTTCAACCTAAAAACAATAAAATTTTTAATGTGAAATATTACTTATAAAAAATAGTGATAAAATTTAAAATGTAGTTTATTAAAAAATATTTTGTATTTATGTTAATAATATAAAATAAAAATTTGATCAATCATTAAAATTTATTTTGTTAACTATTTTGCTATTTGATAAATACAAGATCATGGATTTGAATAAACAAATATATCAATTAATATTCATGTTTCTGAAATTAAATCTCTAGAATTAAATCTGTTAAATCTTAGCCATTAGACTCAATTTGGAATTTGATATTCAATTCATAAAATTCAAATCTTCAGAAAATATCAATATTTAAAAGTAATAGAAATAATACTCTGGTTTAAATGATTAAAGTCAAAAGCTGTATTTACAACAGAAGCAGGAGAAAGTTCTAACTAGAACCAAACCCTATTCACTCCATACTTCAAAATACTTTGTTTTCATTAAAGCAACACCAATTCTATTAATTGTAAATGGATCTGCAGATAATGAACATTATTCTATTAAATGTAACTAAATTATTACAAAAGTTGCTTCTAGTCCTTGATACAATAATATCAATTAAATTAAAATATCCACAACCGTGAGGCAGATAATAGTGAGGGCTTATCAGACCAAATGATGGGCACAAACGCTCAGAGATTAAAGTGAAAAAAATTTAATAAACACAAAAGGTTACTACATAAGTATGAAAATGAAAACCCAAAATGCATTTCGGACTGTTTTCTAACAGAAAACAGTCCCTCATCAGTTGGTGTTAGTTAATGGTAATGCCATAATAGAATTAAACTAAGTAACGGTCAACTTAAAACTAAGCTTAAAGTTATACAATATATAAATTGAGGACACCACTGTAATGGTGTGAGTAGTAAGCATCATCAGTAAGTATTATCTAAAGTAGGTGGAATATTAAAAATTATACAAAGTAAGGTGAACTTAAAAACTATGCCTAAAACTATACAATATAAAGATGAAGATGCCAATATAACAGTATATATACCAATAAATATATATATATATACCAATTCTATATATACCAATCTAATTGATATTATTATATCAAGGGCTAGAAGCAACTTTTGTAATAATTTGATTATTTCATAGTTATAATCAGTGAAATAGTAAGCATTTGAATGAACCCATTTCTACAATATATACGAGGGCTGTTCGGAAAGTTTGCAGCTTTGCCTATATGCAGCGCTGCAATCAATTTTATTTTTGGTGGGAATAATTCAGCCATCTTTGCTAGAGATACGATACCAATTACCGCTTGATTTGTCATAAAGTTTTGTCACGGCAGCTTAGCAGATAGTCAGTGTGCACATGCTTTGTCAAAAATGGAGAAGACGGAGACTCGTGCGGTCATAAAATACCTGATGAAAAAAGGGTTGACCTTATTTCAAATCAAAGTTGACATGGATGAAGTTTTGGGAGAGTCTGCTCCTTCACACACCACTGTGAAAAAATGGACAGCCCTTTTTAAATCTGGCAGAGAGAGTGTGGAAGATGACCCTTGCAGCGGACAGCCCTTTTTAAATCTGGCAGAGAGAGTGTGGAAGATGACCCTTGCAGCAAACGGCTGTCAACTGCTGTCACTGAAGAAAATATCTATAAAGTTCACGATTTGGTATTAGCAGATCGTCGTTTGAAAACGCGTGAGATAACTGAGACAACAGGCATCTCTGTTGATCAAGTGCACCACATGCTAACTGAAAATTTGGGTATGAGAAAGTCTCAGCAAGGTGGGTGCCACATCTGCTGACCGCTGAGCAAAAACGTGTTCTCATTTTGATGTCAAAGGAGTGTTTGGACTTTTACCAGAAAATCCCACAGGATTTCTTGCATCGGTTTGTGACTACTGACGAAACGTGGATCCATTACTACACTCCTGAAACAAAAGAACAGTCGAAGCAATGGAAACACCACAGTTTGCCACCACCAAAGAAGGCAAAGACAGTTCCATCAGAGGGGAAAGTGATGGCCTCGGTTTTTTGGGATGCTAAAGGCATCATCTTTATTGACTACCTAGAAAGAGGAAAGACCATTAATGCTGTCTATTACTGTAAACTTTTGGAAAAACTAAAGAAAGAAATCGAAGAAAAGAGGCCACACTTGAAGAAGAAAAAGGTTCTGTTCCACCACAATAGTGCACCTGCACATTTTGCCAGAATCACTGAACTAAAGATAAACGAACTTTGCCTCCAATTAGTTTCACATCCCCCGTACTTACCTGATTTGGCCCCCAGTGACTTCCACCTTTTTCCAAACCTAAAAAAATTCTTGGCTGGAAAGAGATTCCACTCAAATGACGAAGTCATCTCTGAAGTGAACGAGTATTTTGCACACCTTGACAAATCGACCTATTGCGATGGCATAAAAAAGCTAGAACATTGCTGGAATAAGTGCATTGCTAACAGAGGAGACTACATTGAAAAATAAAAAAGTTTTAACATTATTTTGTTTGTAGTTCTACTTGAGGCCGCAAACTTTCCGAACAGCCCTTGTAAATAACAAATTTTTAATGAAATATTTAAAAATATATATATTATAAATTATTTTTAGACTGTATTTTTTAGAGAAACTTTCAAAAAGTTTTTTTAAAGTAAACTGAAAGTATAAAAGTTAGTGATCCAAAATTAAAGAAGTTATAATGTTTTTGTTTTTTTATTTATTATACATGTATTAATTTTTTCCAAAATTGAAGTTGAAAGAATTATGTTTAAAATATTTTAGGAAAGGAATTATATACAGGAATATTTTGTAACAGTTACATAATTTTGAAATTATTTATTACTTTTATTAATAGTTAATTTGATTTTGTCATCTTATTTATTTCATATGTGACTGCAGGGTCAGCACCACATTGTTGATCCCACATCAGGATGACACCATTGTGTCTTTTCTAATTGACACAGAAGCTGCAAGGACTGTTTATTTTTGTTTGTATTAGGTTACGTGAGCTGTCACCTGCATAGGTAATTGGATTTGGGATGGAGGAGGTCTAAGAGACAGTGTGGCAGAAGAAAAGCACTCGGAAACAAGTTAAACAAAACAAATACTATTTATTTGATAGAAGATATACATTCTTTCATTAGTGAGACAATAGAATCTCAACACAGTTGCTATGCAAGAGAAAGAGAGCTTACATTGGATCGTACGTTAAGATAAATACCTGATGGATCATCTTGTTGAAACATTCCAACCATGAGGGTATGTCTTCGGTAGTAGGGTTGTGCAGACATCTACATCGTAGGAAGTGGTGACGGGCCGCATTCATAGGTATAGCCCCGGAACCAGAAAAGGAAGGAAGAAGTACAGTTTGTATAAGAAGAGGGTAAGGTGAAGATGAAAAGAAGTGAGATAGGACAGTTTGATGATAGGAACAGTTTGGAAATAGGTGATAACCTGGCCCGGAGAATTGGCAATATCCATTACTGGAGTAGGAGATATAGGAGGCACTGAACTAACTTGTTTCAGACCCTGGTGGTGACTGCTTGAATTGGCAGTTCATTGTTATTTTAGAACAGTAGAATACGAACGGGAGGTTAAAAGATCGTAGGAAAGCATCAATCTTGACACTGAGAACATGTAAGAAGAAACTCTCTCAAGTACAAAAGTTGACATATATTCACTGCTGATAAAGATCTCTCAAATTGGGTTTTTTCATTATTTTGAATAAAGTTGTTGTAATAAGCACGTGGTGAGGGTTGATTTCACAAAGAGACGGGTATATAAAACAATAAGAAGTGCTTTATTTTTTTTGGTGAACATATACAGGAAAGGTTCTTGTTGATTCCGACCTCCTGAGTCCTTACTTCAAACAAAAGAACAAACAACACCTTTTTCGATTCACAGTCGAGCAAGACTTTCGCGATACAAAGAGATACTTAACTTCTAACTTAAACCTACTTATATCTAAAAAGAAAAGGAAAAAGGAAAAGAAAGTTAGATTAGAAGAGAGAAACGGAAATATTTTAGGATGGAACGGGTACCCGAGTTGGCGATTGGGGTGGCGGCTGCTGGATGACTTCGTCTTGGGAATTTTCCTTTTGGGGACGGATCGCATGCGATAATCAAATAAAAATGTCTTTTATCTTTTGGCTGGCCAATGTCCTTATCAACGCTACTTCTTCCTTACGTGCTCTTCGTGCCTCTTTCAGCCGAAGCAACACCGACCTGGAGACCTCTCTCTGACGGTCTTCCCTCTTCTAGGTCCAAAGCCAGAAGGTACTCACTTAGTCTCTCACTTGCCCTCTGGGCTATCTCTAATCCTTTGTCTCCTAATTAGGTCATCGACCACCCACACCTGGACGAAAGTTCCAGAAAGTATAGACAAAGGAACACAGAACAAAGAAAGAAGGAAAGATAGAAAATCATGTATATACATATATATAAAAATATAACAACAAAATATATTGGTGTACCACCACAAAGTTTCATTTATTTAGTTCAGGTTCTCATACATATATTTATATATTCCTATACACATGTACGTATTAATGTAAAATGCATATTTCTTTGTCATGTTGTAGCAATATATAACATGTAAAATAAAATGAACTGTGAATTTACAAACTTACATGTTAGTATTAAATTAAACAAATTATAAAATATAATATAATAAATATAAATTTTTGTGTAAAAATTTATTATTCAGTTTTTATATTTCATAAAAATTTTAGATATTTGAGGCTGTGATGATTTGGGTAAAAAAAAATATAGAGGAACGGGCTGAATTGTTGCCGGAACTGTTAACGAAAGTTAGAATGCCATTACTCACTCCTCATTACTTAACTGATCGTGTCGCTACTGAGGAACTTATAAGAACATCTCATAGATGTAGAGATCTTGTGGATGAAGCAAAAGATTATCATCTCATGCCCGAAAGAAGACCGCTTCTCCAGAGTTTCAGAACGAGACCACGCTGTTGTCCAGATATAGTTGGATTGATTTATGCTGTAGGTGGACTCACAAAAGCAGGTAAATTAGTTTAATTATGTTTTTAAGAGACTAACCTTATGAGATAGATATTTGTTAACTTTTATTGGGCTATTAACCATTAACCTGTATGGTTCTTTATTTTAATATATGCTTAGAAATTAAGATCAGATGGACTTTTAATAAGTGTGATATATCTATCTGGTAAGCAGAACTTGCATACTCTGAAGTGATCTTTTTTTCTTCCAGAATCATCTGAATTATTTACTATTGAATTAAATTTCAAAAACACTTCAAATTATTAATTTTAGTACAAGATGGAAAACTGACTGTTTATCTTTATTACAATTTTTGTTTGTTCTATTTAACCTAAAATATGTAGTCACATTCACAATGTAAGTTAAAACATCTTTAAACTATTGTTATATACAGTGGCGTAGCGAACATAACTGGCACCCAGGGCACGACACTTTATTGGCGCTTCCCCCATCCAGAAATAAATCTTGTTTATCTTGGAGACCATTTGGTGCCCCTCTGCGAGTGTCACCTGGGGCATAATAGACCCCCTTGCTCTCCTCTTGCTATGCTAGTGGATATATATACTACCACTAGTTGGATATATATACTACCATATAGACCTTACATATTGTGTTTGTATAAGTTATATATGTACACAATACACACATGTATACAATAGAACCCCAATTATTCCAGATAATGTGAACTCATAAAATAAATGACCATGGTAATTTTGAATTAAAAATTACAAATATAAAAGAAAAGATTTACATGCTATCATTTTTAAACCTTTTCTTTATACCTCAGTGTATTTAATCACGTATAAGAACAATAATTTTTACTTCATTTATTGTATAGCTATCATGTACAAAAGATTTTAGAACAAAAGTGTGTATTATCGTAGTTACGCTTTAATATGAATGATTCATTTTGTTTTGAAGTTAAATGCTAAAAAATAATTCAAACAAATAATTTTTTAATATCTGTTATTGTCATAAATGTTCTTTTATGAAAAATTGTATAAGAAAACTAGTGTATACAGGTCTGTCTTGGATAATATAGAACAGTGTTTCACAGCCTCTAACAAATTGTCACCCCCTTCAACATAGTATCGTCCCCTTCAATAAAACCATTATGTAGTATCACTTTTTCACTGCAAAATTGCGATGCCGAGGGCCAAGACTAACGATAAGTTCGTACTGCATCGAATAGAATAGTGACTAGTACATATAATGTTATTTGTTTATTTATTGTAGGATGTAATGAATAAAATATCTAATTATTCTTAATATAATGTTTTACTATATCACCCAGAAAATTGTTTTTCGCCCCATAAAATATAAATTGTTACTAATCGCCCCCTCAACATGGAAAAACGCCCACATGGGAGCGTTTTTCCCCTGTTATCGCCCCCGTTGAGAAACACTGATATAGAATCTTGATTAATGGGGTACTACTACATATACATATATATATATATGTCCAAAAAGTAAGCATAATTGTTCAATAGAGCAGAAATAAACAAAATAAATAGCGGAAATTGTACGTAAATGTTTCCAGACAATGAAAATATCTGGAATGTAGTAAAAAGTTTCATACTTTTATTATAAAGCACAAATTTATGCAGAATATGAAGGCTCTATAGATATAACAACAGCATTGCATTGTTTTTGTTGTGATTCATCCATTGAGAACAGTTTGTTACTGTTTTACTTTATGATACTGACAGTGCCATATACCACACAGTTGATGCTAAAGAAGATTTTATTAAATACAGATCACCACATCTAGGGTTTGGGTCAGATTTCAAAGAACTGGTGATATATGTCAAGCAGAAAGTGGACATCTTAGAGTAACCATGCCTGAATAGGACCTGTATTTTACGTTAGCAGTATGTTGTATCAAAAGAATGTCTAGTAAGGAGTTCTCTGCTGAACTGCTTACACTCATTAGTGATAGTTTTTTTGACAGTGTGTGTACAGGAGGCTTCAGGTTTTTTCACTCAGTCCATTGATCCCTGCTCACAGAGCCTGTTTAAGATGGTGTTAATAACATTAACGTTAGACTTTGAATAAATAAGGCAATGTTTTATTTATTGACAAGTTCACTTACAGTCTACAGAATGAATCTCATTGGAATAGAATCTTGAGAAAGTGGAAAACCCAATACAGTCACACAAATATTGTGGAAAGAGACCAGGTTTTAGGAGGTAATACAGTATTATGATTTGGAATGGTATTATGTTTAATGGCCTCATTGGACTACGTTTTTGTAAAGGAGTGCCATTATTGCAAGAAGGTACAGAGACAAGGTTTTGGAACCTTATGTGACACTTTTATGAATTTGCTAGGGATGCTTATTTCATTTTTGTATGATGACAATATCTGGGCACATAGGGCTGCATTTGTTAATTACTTTCTTAGTGAAGATACTCATATACTCATCACATTGCCCGACCAGCAAGATCTCCATACCTAAATCCAAAAGAATGTGTGAGATGCTCTAGGCAGACATGCTGCATCCTGTCAGTCTCCACCAAGAATATTCTTGAAGCATCATAATATTTTTCTTTAAGAATGGACTTTGTTTCTAACAGAGTTGATAAATATTATAACAATTATCATAAATCAAGAGCTGCGCATTGCAAGATACAATTGCATATATTAATTACTTTCTTTGCAAAAAGATTTATGATGGTTCTTATTATTTTTCAATTAACATAATTTAGATTAAAGTTTTGTTTTTCAATTGTTTTCTTACATAAAGAATGCAATGTTTTGCTTATATGTTAAGTTTCATGCTGTTCTGATTAGTAGTTTGAGAAATAAGCCAAATTAAACCTTATGCTTATTTTTGCATTTGTATTCATATTTTATGTTAAATATCTTATCAAATTATCGGATATATATTTATGTAACCAATGATTTGATGATTATATTATTAATTTTTAAGATAATAATTTATTTTTTCATATTATGCTTTTCTCGTTAATTAAAGATAATTCATATATGTTTAGAATTGAAGATTTAAAATAAATTTAGTAATTTGAAATTTTATTTCAAAGGCGATTCATTGAGTACAGTGGAAGTTTATGATCCAAAAGTGGAGAGATGGCAGATGGCAGAAGCCATGACCATGTTGAGAAGTCGTGTTGGTGTTTCTGTTATGCATAACAAACTGTATGCTATCGGCGGCTACAATGGCAGCGAGAGACTCAGCACCGTTGAAGTCTTTGATCCTAATTCCAGAACATGGAGTAAAGTTGCATCTATGAACTGTAAAAGAAGGTAAGAGTAATCACTTTTGATGTTTTCTATTTTTTAAAATTTTTTTATGATTAAAAATAGCAGGAAAATATGGAATTAAATGACATGTAGTGCTCAAATGAAATAATCAGTAACATACTTTAATATAAAAAAAGTTTAGGGTTTCTACATTAACTGATAAATGTGACATTAACCGTAAAATAATTAGCCAGTTAAGAATATATGTTGGTTTATTTAACAAAGGATTTGTTTATTAACATTATGACCTAATACTTTGTCAGTCTTTCCCTTGCTTTGATGACTGCATGAGAACAAGCCATGGAAAAAATATTTTTCTGATATAATTACAGTGACCATATTTTTTTGGGGAAAATAAAGGACATATCGAAGAAAATCAAAAAATACCTTATAAAATTCATAAGTTTATAACATTTATTACGAAAATAGTAGCATACAACAATGCATACATTAAAATTTTAAACAATCTGAATTATTACACATACACACATTGTAAAAATTTAAATAACATTAATTTTGATACTTTTCAGTAGAATTAATTTTTTTTT